ATATTATGAAAATATATTATGCTTTATTTTCCGCTGGGAAATAAAGCATAATATATATATTATATAAGCATATATATATATATATATATATATATATATATATATATATATATATATGTGTGTGTGTGTATAAGTGAACATTGAAGCCATACTCAGATGCGACAGCCTGTTTCATGCTAGACGCAATCATCAGGCCACACACACACAAACATTAATTCCAAAGTATATATATATATATATATATATATATATATATATATATAGTGTGTGTGTGTCTACTTCCTCTTTTTTATTTGTGTGTGTATTCCTCCTAATATACTGGGGTACAGTATGCAAGTATCTTGAATTATTAAAAATGGCAGAGATTTTGCTATTTCCCTCAGGTATGTGGTATTTGTTTTGCTGACGTTGGACCTTCATAATGTCTGCGTTTGAAATGAGTGACCGACCTCATACATGTTTTTTTCTAGGTGATGACTAACTCAGGGACGTAACATTCAAATCTTACATAACAGGATGAACTCTTATATATCAGTTATGTAATAAATATATTTAGTACTCTATGTCATGTTTATAATCAAAGATACTTACTCCAGTCCGATAACATACCACTGTAATAAAAAAATGAATACAATTTATTGAAAGTGCCAAGTTTTATGGATTCCCATTCTGGGTAATGGACAATCAAGGTTATTTCAGTTTATTACCTGTTCCTACTAAATTAGTACTGAAAAACTTAAAATACACGAATATAGAGGATGTCCTATAATGAAGGGAAACATTTTAAATTCAAGAATCTTGGATTATAAAAATGACAGAATACAAAATATATTTATTACATAACTAATATAGAAGATTTCAAGATATTATCTAAGATTTTTCTATTTCCTGACATTGAAAGACCTTTATAATGTCGTAGATTCCGAAAGAAATTGCACTGTGTTTGAAAAAAGGGAGCAAACCCATGCATATTCTCTTTGTTGTGGTGACCATGTTGGGGATGTAATATTCAAATCTTAGAAATGTTGAATGATTGTATATCAGTTATGTAATATATTTTGTACTCTATGTCATTTTTTATAATCCAAGATACTTGCATTTAAAATGTGTCCTATCATTATGGGTTATCCTGTATAAGTAAACAAATAAATAAAATTAGATTGAAGTTAGTTATATTCAAATTTCGATAACAATAGAGTTAAAGTAAAAAATCAAGTGTTCATATACTAAATGTGAATCCGGCTTTGTCTCGTTAATGTAGATTTTGCTGAACTAAAATTCATTGGCAAAACCTGTCAAAATAGATTTAAAAATTGTCTTATATATTCTATAAAAGACAGAAGTTTGGTAGCGAATATTCTTGTTTGCATATTTATATATATATTAAATTAAAAAAAAAGGAAGTTTGGATGTGAAAAATCTGATGGAATAGCAAGCATACAAAACAATTTGGAAAACTTATGTTTTGAAATACCATTATAATAAAAAAATGAATACAGTTTATTGAAAGTGCCAAGATCTATGGATGCCCCTATGGGTAATGAATAATTAATATTATTTCAGTTTATTTTTGTTCCTACTAAATTAGTACAGAGGGCCGACACTATTTTTCAGACACTTTATTTTTTCAAGTTTTAGGTAGCACAGGCAGTCTGTACTGTTTTAGTGTAATGGCAATAACATTTAAAAACTGTTTCAATACTACAAATGGAAAAGCAGAATTCAAATTACAAGTATTTTTATTTTTTTACAAATTTTCACATTACACAGGCGACAGTATTTTTCGGACATTGCAGAAACAATGCTAATAGTTTATGGCAGCAGTCTTTTTTACAATGACTTCAAATGCATTCTTCTTCAGGATTTTAATACGTTTTCGCAGTGAATGGTAAAGATACTCAAATGTAATGGTCAGGGTACAATTTACCTGCAGAAAATTTGCATATTGTAGACGTTCGACGACTAAATCATTAAAAAACCCGGAATTTGTGTCATGTGCGAAAAATAGTGTCGCCTAAGTTGAAGTAAAAATAAAGAAAACATGAAACGAAAGACAAACCCATCAATCAATGTTCATAACATTAATGGACAGTTACTGCTGAACTACGTACACATCAACGCAAAAGCTATCGGCTGCAAAAAACACCTTAAAGCACACTTTTCAAAGTGTCCCAAAAATAGTGTCGGCCGCCAGTTCTGAAAACCTTAAAATACACGAATATACAGATGCTTGCATTTAAAATGTGTCCTATCATTATTGGAAACCCTGTATTGATCGGGGCAGAACAAATCATTCTTCTGCTTTCCGTATTGTGATTCATTTGTCGGCTTATTCTTATAAAAACACATTTTACATTATATCTTTCGTATTTGTTACTGTAATATTAATTTAAGACATTTTTATGTTTAACATTCTTTTTATAGATACAAATATATAAGTAAATGCTCTGTTTATAATAAACAGTATTAAACAACATTTACCGGCCTGAATGTCCGAGAAATTTTCACAGAAAATATTAGTCCCCCGAATATTAATATAATAATTTGCCTCTGCGATGCAAAATAGGCGATAGAAAATAGAGGGTGAGGCAAATACAGTATAAGAAAAATGAAAAAAAAACTCGTTTTACTGTCAGCTGCGGGTGGGGGCCTTTTTGCTTGGGTTTAAAATAATTGTTTTCAATGCAGGGAAAATTTTGTTTAATATATTCTCTAAATCGGTGATTAAAATCTTCAAACTGTGAGTCGGCTTTCTGCGAGCTGGACGGATTCATTGTTTATGCAAGGAAAAAGAGTGGCCCTCACCAATTCCAAACTCTTGCTGAAAATTGGCGCAGAGAAAGAATAAAAAAAAAAAGAAATGGGGAAAAGAAAAGAAAGCCTTAAAGTGGATAAAGAAACATGAAGAAGAGAATGTGAGTTGAAAAAACAAACAGGATATCAAATTTGTTAAACATCGAAACAACGTGCTTTGAACGTCTCGACACAATTTAGCGTTCACTGATATATATATATATATATATATATATATATATATATATATATATATATATATATATGAGGAGGATTATCAAAGATAAATAAGAAAAGGGCTTATCATAAGAAAACCAACTCTTTTCTTTTTAGTCAATGTCTTCATGTCAGTAGTAGATATGGGCCTTTTTTTTTTGAGGTAGAAAGTACTTGCATGTGACCCACTGGTGTGTACGGTCAGACATCTAGTAAAAAAGTAAAAGGCAACATTTTGAATGTCGGTTTAAAAGACAGGCAGACTGACGCTTCACAAATGGAAGGTTAGCGTAACACAATCTTACCAACCATCTACGATAACTAATTTGTCATTGGCTGCTTTGAACCGGACCCCATTCTTTTGGTAATAGTGACCAAATGTTGCGACCTACATAGTTAACCTTGACTCGGCCCAATAGAGCAGGTGGTTTGCTAGGCACTTGTTTAAACCCCTCTCCTGATCTAATGCGATAATGACGCAAAAAAGCTGTTATTCTCAATAAATGAAGTGAAAACCTGCATTTTTGGGCTAACCATTCTCCCACAGTTCATAGCATCTGATATTCCCAAGTGGTCACCCATCTAGATACTAACCAGGCTCCTCGTTGCTTAACTTTGTTGATCATGCGATTAAAATCCCAGGAATGTATCTCAAACACAGAATATTGGGCTCATAAGAATCACTTGCGTAGAAGAACTTAATATAATAAGCTTCCAGATAGTACCAAAAAAAAAAAACTGATATTTTCGACGTCAATTCCGTTAGTGATTATTATAAGAAGTGGGGAAGGAGGAAAAGGAGGAGGAGAAGAAGAGAGTAGGGGAGGAGAGAGGAGGAGGAGGAGAAGGGAGGAAAGAGGAGGAGAGGAAAGTAGAAGAAGAATAAAGGAGGAGAGGGAAAAAGAATAATAAAAAAAGAGAGGGGTGAAGAAGCAGGAGGAGGAGAGGGAAGCAAAAAAAGAAGTCATAGAGAGAAACAGAACAATTAGAGGGAAGAAGAAGAAGAAGAAGAAGAAGACTTCTGTAGAGATAGTAATATCTCCAACAATACATTCACCTGATGTTTATAAGGAGGAGGAGGAGGAGAAGAAGAAGAAGAAGAAGAAGAAAAAAAGAAAAAGAAGAAGAAAAAGAGGGAAGAACAGAGGAAAGAAAGAGAAGAAAAGAAAAAAGCTAAGAAAGAAAAAGAAGGCGAGGGAAGAAAAGAAAAAGGAGAGGTAAGAAAAGGAGGAGGCGAGAAAAGAAGAAGAAGATGAGGAAAGAAGGAGCAGAGGGAGAAGGAAGACGATTTGGTTGTTATAGGCCAAATAATAATAATATAGACATAAGACAATGTATTCCTTATACTGGAAGATATGCCAACATTATAACCTTTCCCATAGAGACAAATGGTATAAACACAAAATTCAAAATGGGATCGCTTGTGTTTGCTTTCTGGTGATCTGTGTTCAAACTCCAGTGTTGGCAGCGACATTTTATTCCTATATAACAGTCTCTTTCAGTAATAATCGCTTACTCATCTTAACCAATTCAGAGTTAATTAGAGCCTCTAGTACTTTGGCAAAAGGAGGTAGAAGACTAATCGGCCGATAGAAGGATCAAATAGTACGCTCGAGATCTTAAAATCTGGATCTACAGAAGAAGATTTCAAACAATCAGGGAAATAAGAAGCAGATAGTCGTTGATAGTAGTTTAGAGAGAACAAGAGCCAATCCAGGAGCACATTTCTTCAGGACTATAGCAGAGATATCATCAAGTACTCATGGTTTAAGAGACTGATGAGCTTTGGTACTGCTTAACCGTTTTTGCAGGTTATTTAAAGCCAGAAAATATTTTTAAATTTTAAGAATTGTGGGTGGCAGTTAATAATGATTTACTGACAAGTCAAACTAATTTACCCATGTCTGATAGTCAACTTCCGGAGAGCAACTCCCTGCGTCTGCTCGGTCTCACGCTGACTGCTGACCTGAGATGGAACAAATACATTGAGTCAATTGCTTCTTCCACCGCGAGGAAAGTTGGCTCTCTGTGCCGCGCCAGGAAATTTTTCTCCTCTGAATCGATTCTCCAAATATACAAAACAACCATTCACCCTTGCATGGAGTATTGCTGTCATATATGGGCTGGAGCACCTTCTGCTTACCTCGGAGTTCTTGACAAGATCCAGAGACGGATATGTAATATAATTGGTCCTGATCTGGCGTCTCGTCTGCAGTCACTCTTTCACAGACGCGCCGTCGCCTCTCTATGCCTTTTCTACAAATACTTCCATGGTAATTGCTCCGATGAGCTGCTTTCACTGGTTCCCAGACTCCATGAATTCAAGCGCCCTACGAGGCTGGCATCCCGCTCCCACCCCTACACTGTAGAAACTTTTAAATCTAGCTGTCTCTTCTACTCCAATAGCTTCATACCTCGCACCTCTCGCCTGTGGAACACCCTTCCCAATTACTGTTTCTCTGAAAGCTATAACCTCCAACTATTCAAATTTAATGTCAATCGACACCTCCAGTTACCTTGATCTATCCACTATCCCTCTCCTCATCCTTTCTTCTATCACTCCTATCTGCTCTCGCTCCAAACCTTCCGCAACCCCCTGCATCCTAGTGGCTTCACGCCTTGCTCGGGGCGTAATGCTTAACAAAAAACAAAAAAAAAAAGCTCGAGTGGAGAAGAAGTGGAGTCATACTTCTGCAAAGGGTATTTGCATGTCAGTGAATTTAAGGAACCCGACTGGATTTGGAACTCAGTCCTTCGATTTCCAATTCCGTTCCGTTATCCATTACACCGCCCGCACATCCAAATTCATAGCATCTGATATTCCCAAGTGGTCACCCATCGAGATACTGAGGCTCCTCGTTGCTTAACTTTGTTGATCATGCGATTAAACACAAAATATTGGGCTCATAAGAATCACTTGCGGAGAAAAACTTAATATAATGTACTCAAAAAGTTGCAAGAAAAACATTTAGTAAACGATTGTATTTAAAAAAAAAAACACATCAGGAAAACTGGTAATAACACACAGGTTATTGGGGCTTTGGGACTGATATCGAGAAGAGCAAGCAAATATGTGGAAGAAATTCCTGGCAGCCCTAAAATATGAATTGCAAAAACTCAAGACAATATTCATGAGTACAATCATCACTTTCGTATTCCACAATTTTTTCAGTTCTTCGGTAAAGCTCAGGTAATCTTCCAAACTATTTGAAATCTTTTTTGGTATATTTAGAAATCAAGACAAGAATTATTATTATTGCTACTTCCTTTGATTTCTGTTGTATACACATTTCCTTCTGGGTTCTAACCAGAGACATAAGGTTAGAAATGGCTTCATGACATTTTCCATCAATCATTTTTGTAAAAGAAAAACACACATTTTACAAAGATAAAGTTTTTTGTAAAATGTGTGTTTTGTACTTGTGAGCACAATTTTATATATTTTTACAGGAATCCCATCAACGAGTCTATCGGAACCTTTACCAGTCAATCCGAGTGCTCCAACTACAACTGGAATTAATGATATCCTTATGTGACACATTTTTGAGGTTTTCTCTTCCAGAACCTTGTATTTTGATAGGTTATTGAAGATTTTCAAAAATGCATCAAAATATTATTTTTATCATTCTTATTATGATTATTGCTGTTAAAAATTGGTATAGATTTATATTTTAATAATAATAATAATAATATGTTTATACTTTAATAACAATGATTTATACTTTAATAATGATAATAATCGATTTGTATTTTAACAATTATAATAATAGATTTATACTTTAATAATAATGATTTATATGTTAATAATAATAGATTTATATTTTAATAATAATAATAGGTTTATACTTTAATAATAATAATAATAATAATAATGTTGGTTACTTTACACACCCTCTTTATACAGTGAGCAATTACATATTTTCTCTGACTTCATGACACTGCGTCTAACAAAGCTCTGACATTCAAAGACTTTGAAAGATCCTTCGGCACTGTTCCGAGTGTACCAATAACTATGGGTATAACTGTGAGATTATTTTCCACAATTTTTTCAGTTCTAAAGCAAAGCTCAGGTATTCTTCCAAGCTTTTTGAAATGTTCCTTGATATTTTGGTAATCATGGCTACCAAGTTCATATTCAATGAGCTTCTTCCAAGTTTCAAATAAAGCTCAGTGGTCATTTATAACGACTTATTTCTGATTGGTAAATTATTGCATAAGTTCTAAGAAAATAATAATGGTAATAATTTACAAGAGAAAAAGACAGTGCATATTTTGAAACCATGACAAGAATGTTTATTACTACCACTATTATTATTATTGTTAAGTTAGGTTGAAACTTTAGTTTTAAGGTATAGATTTAAGCTTTAATGATGATGACGATTATAATGAGTATTATGATTATAATAATGATGATTATGTTTATGATGGCAGACCTGATGTTTATGATGATAATGATGTATGATGATGATGTTTATAATGATAATGATGTTTATGATGATGATTATGTTTATGATGATAATGAAGATGTTTATGATGATAATGATGTTTGCTGATTATGATGATAATGATGTTTATGATGATAATGATGTTTATGATGATGATTATGATGATGATTATCATGTTTATGATGATAATGTTGTTTATGATGATGAGGTTTATGATGATAATGTTTATGATGATTATGATAACGATGATGTTTATGATGATTATGATAATGATATTTATGAAGATAATGATGTTTACGATGATTATGATGATAATGATGTTTTTGATGATTATGATGATTATGTATATGATGATAATGACGTTTATGATGATGTTTATGATAATGATGCTTTTGATGATAATGATGCTTTTGATGATAATGATGATGATAAGGATTACAATGGTTATGATTATTATGATTTTAATAATGATGATGACGATATTGATGATTATGATGATGATCATCATCATCCTCACATATCTTGCGTATATGTATCTCCATACAGTGACCGCAATTACATATTTGTTTTTCTTCCCGATTGTATAGTAATTCATCTACTTGCATCTTCTGAAACAAAAAAGAAACTTATCTCTAGTAGTCTCTGGTTGAGACTTTGTGTATATGGTGAGGGGTGGCTATTAGTACAAGGCACAAAGAAAGACACAATAATAATAAAATCTGATCTATAAAAACCTTTAGCAAATCCTCACTAGAATTCAGTTAATCGCGAGAACATGTAAATGACAAAAGGAAAGTTGATCACGAACGAGCGATAAGCTGTCCACGACACCCACATAAAAGTACAGACGGCATTAGACGCGTTCTTATGAAATCATTTAACGCAGGAAAGTATTTTGTTGTCGTTGCTTTAAACACTTCGCTCGAGTTACACTGCTCTGCCTACTTTTATCTGCACGAAGGAAAGTGGGTGTTGAAACTTTAATCAGATTTAAGGATTATTAATTTGTTATGTCGACAATTTTGCAAAGGTCTACGAGTCTTTGCAACCAAGTAACCTCAAGTAATTCATGTATCTCTATCACAACATAGAAGAGGCTGCAATAGGGGCAATTTTGTCCAACGCTACAATGAAATGAGTTCGTTTGATGGAAACAATCATCTGGATGTCATGCATGACGTTCAACTCGTTCAGAAAAGTAAACCATCAGGCTATATACAGTCGTTTACTAAAACCAGTTGATTCAAAATGGCTTCAAGAGAATGAGCCTTGTAGACTTGAAAAGGATACTCCTTCCTCTCCTTGACGGTAAACTGGTGCTCCAAAATCATTAAGAACGGCAACAAACAACAGAAAACTACACCACGAAGACTTCCAACAGAAGTAACAACTAAAATGGATGACGCGTGTAAAGCGAAGTGAAAACAAGGACATAATCAAAATGTCGACTTTCCACACTACTTTTAAACAAATGTTTAATAAAGAGACGCCCATCACTATTAGAATTTGAAAAATGTAATGCGCTTGAAAAACCTATTTTCCAAAACTGTTTTGAACTTCAACCGACAGTAACACTAAATGAATTCTGAATGTTTCCTCATAAGGAAATGAAAATTCACCATATAGATCCCAATAAATAGCTTGTACTGCAAAAAAAATTCTAAACATTACCATTCTTAGATATAATCTAGCATCTGAAATACCCACTATATAAAAATAACTAGCAGTATAACCCGTCTTTGCCCGGGCCTTTCATTACTGGGAATTTTTGCCGTTCACTTAAAGCAGTTTAAGTTTTAAGTCAGCCCACCCGAAAATCAATAGTAGTAACAGCATTTGGGTGCAACTGTGGCACATCCTCAAATGGGGGGGTAACAATTTGAATTGTGGGGTGACCCTGAAAAGGGAACTGTATAATAATGAATAATATTATTGTAATAATTCAAACTATTTATTTTTATTAAATTTTTTATGAAAGATATATATCCAAGAATAGATAGTAAATACTAAAACGCTGCTGAGAGTTATAATGGACAGGAAGTAGTGCAGAACCATTGTCGGCAACAATATGGACTCAAAACCGGCACTGAAGAATTATTTATCAAACAAAAATATTTCATTGAAATCGGATGAAGACTGTGGAAATGCATAAACAACACCCGATCATACACACACACACATTTTGATATAGTTGTTTATGAATTCTCTTATGGTATCTCTTATTATGTATTGTAATAAAAATAAATTTAAAAGAATTCCTATCTCTCACTTCCCTCTCTAATTTCGGCTCTGTCTGTCATACTATCTATCACCACTCTCCATATCACCTTACATCAGCTTAATAGTACCCTTCAAAAGTGTAAGTTTAAGTTTCATATTTTCATCCTTGGAAGTGAGGTCTGATGATCCAGGGAAAAAGTAACTCCCTGGGGAAATAAATTATAACTATGGAACCTTAAAGTTGTCTGGTTTTGTTTAAATTATATATATATATATATATATATATATATATATATATATATATATATATATATATATATGAGACACAATCTTATGGGAAAGGTATTCTCGGATGAGTTAAATCACGCGAAGTGACAGCAGCGCTATATCGAGTCAAGTCTGTGACTTCTTCTTCACCAAGGCCCCTTTGGTACAGATGGCATGTCGCTTACGCCGTATCCTAACTGTCCGGGTTCGATTCTCGCTAGTGGATGCGCACTGTTGATGAGTCCTAGATAGGTCGAAACGACCATCCATTGCTTTCTGCATTCTGTTGAGGATTCTTCTAGACTCGATGAATGAATTAGATTTGTATTCAAATTCCCTCCAAATAAATTCAGTGTATATATATATATATATATATATGTGTGTGTGTGTGTGTGTGTGTGTGTGTATGTGTGTGTATGTGTGTGTGTGTGTGTGTGTGTGTGTGTGTGTGTGTGTGTGCGCGCGCGCGCGCGCGCGTTGCGATGGATAAATTGTCGTCTAAATTAGGCAAAAATGACATCTCATTTTAACGGATATATTTAACAAAATTGCACAAAAATCTCTTGAAATACGAGATAAAGAGTAAATTTATTCAACAAAATCACCATGAATCACTTCAGACGACTTCGGAATCTCCTGCATTTCTACTGGACGGTCTCTTTGTTTGTTGGTGAATGCTGCCTGATTCTTTAGTTCATCTTCGACTGCGACCCACACATAATAATCACTGGGGAAGATGGCCAGATGTAAGGGGTAATGTGGCGAACAGAAATTGTCTGACAGCGATTGCTTGGTTCTCCTGCTTGTGGGGCATGGTGGAGCGTCCTGTTGCCAGCAGCCACCCTCTTGACCAAGGGTAGTACTAGCCACTGAAGGCACGATGTAGGCCTCCGTGTTGAGTCTGAGTCCCTCACCAACTCATTCAGGAGTTCTTTTCTTATCAGAAATATCAGAGTGAGTTTTTCGAGCTGCCGTACCTTCGTAATCACCATTAGACTCATCCAACTCTTTCCAAATCCTCTGCATTGTCGTCAGATTGACACTAAAACACCATGAAATGTTTGCATTGGAGCTTCCGATGCAAATTTCAAGTAGTACAGCATGCCGTTTCCAAATTTCTAGCAGAGTGAATAGCGTCATGGAGCTCCTTTTCCCACAGACGGTGCCCAACTGACCCTACTATACAGCCCGCATGCACGAAATTAAAGATATAAAATGACAACAATTTACCCATCCCACCCTGTATTTGAAATTTTTAAAAAAATATTTTGTATTTTTGTTAGTGCACTTTTTAAAACTGAGTGCAGAATGTTTAGATTAACAAACCGAGATATTTGTTTTTAACACACAGTTCATTGTTTAGGATTGGTTTTCCGGTTTCTTCTCAAGTCTACATCAACTGTAATGTTTAACGTGTCCGCCTAAAACTGATCTTTCATTTACTTTTTATTTACATATTTTTCCTCGATAGTAAATAGGTCTGCCTCTGTCGTTCAATTCATACCCCTCCCGCTCTATTGAAAAGGCGTAGAGATTAATCCATTATTTCCTGTTTATGATTGAGTTTCCGGATTTCCTTCTGTTTCACATCAGCTGGGCCTCTTGCGTCTTAGTGGCTGTATCGCCTTACTTGGAGGAAGTGCCTTAACGTTATTGCAAAAAAAAACAAAAAAAAAAACAAAAACAGCATAGTTGTTGATCGTACCAAAAAAAAAAAAAAATGAGCGGAGCAAACTTGAAAAAATATTCCTCGGCTTTTCATAATACCATGCAAAAGATGACAATGTGATTTATTGATCAATCTGAGCTGATTATGACAAAAAGCCAAATTTAGGAAAATGAGAGGGCCGTGAAAAATGGTGCTGAACTCAGTTGCCTATAAAATCGTCATGGAAAACTCTGGTGTAATCTCCGTTCGAAAATCGACCTTTCATGCAAATAGAAAGTACGCCAGTTATCAAGGAAGTCCTCTACAAACTTCATCTTTCGAAGAATACATTTTTTTCTCTCTAATCGTTTCATCTTAAGAAAGGTGATAATGCCACTAAGACGCATAGGGTTAATGGAATTGAAAGAGAAAACGAAAACTTTAATAAGGAAAAATTTTAAAAGGTCATTTTCATGGATTTTTTGCAGCCATGTCAGATTTTCAATTTCTGTGGATGACGATAGGGGAAAAAAGAAAATGTGAAGCTATAGTAAATAGCTTTGTTATTTAACATTCAGCACTGAAACATAACTTACATTATAGAGTATTTACATGTATTTGTATTCGCTCGTATACTTACATATATTTACCCATTCGGTTTTATATATATATATATATATATATATATATATATATATATATATATATATATATATAAATAATGTTTCATTGAATAATTTAGACAAGTTGCGTCTATTTATTTTCAATTGGATCCTTTATTATTCACGGGCAAACTTTTTTGGTGTCATTATAAAAGAAAGAGACAAAATCGCCATGTTGATACATATTGTTTTATTCCGAGTACTTTCGACATACCATAATGTCATCAGCAGGAATTATATCTTCAACATTTCTAAACATTTATAACAGCATACCTGTCCACATTCACAATCCAGAAAAAGTTTTGTTGAAAATACATCTATACATTTTCATGAAAGTAATAAACAGAAACTACAAATTCTCGTAGCTATCTATATTAAAAAATTGAAACCAAACAAATTATGAGCAGATATATATATATATATATATATATATATATATATATATATATATATATAAATAAAAAAGTTATGAAATGGAAAAAGTCCGACAATTATTTTAAGACATTTTATGTTTAACATTACTTTTATATATACAAATATTTAAATAAATACTCTGTTTATAATAAACAGTATTAAATAACATCTACCGGCCTGAATGTCCGAGAAATTTACATAGAAAATATTCGTCCTCCGACAAGATTCGAACCTGTATCCTATACGAAACCGTCATATAGCCTGATGTGCTTTTACCGATTTCGCCATAAAGGATCGATCGGTTAGCAAGGTCGAATTTACTGCCTTTAAACTTCAATCATCCATGAATCTTTCACGTGCATTCATGTCTGCTCATGGCGTATCAAATGTAAACATATGACATCACACATTATGAAATGGACAAAGTCCGACAATGTGAGGATCGAACTCACTACTCAGTCGTAATTGTTCTAGCGAAACGAATAGACTGCCTTGAGGAGCCCTAATGATTTTCTGAGAGTAGCTTAGATGTGGCACAATGGCCGAAAGTATAAAGCGCACTGACAATCGAACTCCCTACTCAGTTAAAACTTGATTTAGCGAGACAAGCTCGTTTACCATTAGACCACGCCGATGTGATCTGTGATTTTCTAAGCTTAGCTTAGACGTGGCACAAGACTGAAAAGATGGGGCACCCAGTGAGTATTGAACTCACTATTCATTCGTAACTGTTTTAGCGAGACAAGCTCGCTAACCATTACACCACACCGAGGTCTCCCTGTCGGATATGAGTAAGCTATTGATCTGTTATGAAAATCTCATCTAAATTACTTGTAAATTTGTAATAATTGTGTTTAAGCTAAAAAATTTGGGAAACTGGCGTAAGAAACGAAAGAAAAAATATGTTTAAAAAATATTAGCGTTCTATACTTGACAATATTTCAATCTGCATTGGGATTTTCCCAATTATATTTGGTAACAAAAATATTGTGACGCCGGCAAGAAGAAAGGAACACAAACACAGATGAAAATGTTTGAAAAAAACTTGTATTGTAGGAAAAGAGAAGAAAGTTTCATTGCAAACAGTCGGGTTTGCGGAACTCATCTGAAAGATGCGTCCTTTTAACAGTTTTATATTTCCTGTGTCGTTTTGGCTGGGTTGGAGAAAATAGAGTCTTGACTTCTGTGCTTCAGTTGCTGTCTAAATCCACACACATGTCCTGGTGTTTAGATGACGGAGAGTGCAGACGGGGAACGTGTTGTCTCCGAGGGTCCGAACAAGGAAAAGAGAGAGAGAGAGAGAGAGTTTGTAAAAACCGCTCTCGTGGGGGGTTTGATGAAAATCTAAATAGGTAGCCTGTGATTGGTTGTTTTTCATCCAATCACAGGACACCCAGTTAGCGACTCCGTAATAATTTCAATAAAGTGGATAAATTATTTCGGCCTACACTGGATTATGCAGAACAAACAAGAATGTTTTTGTTGAATAAAGAAAAAAAGTACGACGGATCTGACAATTCAGCAGAAGTTTTTTTTTTTTTTTTTTTTGTTATCGCCGGTTTTCTCTTTTAGGGACATTACCAAAGAATGTATTACATGACCCATTACCTGGGTTCTGAAAGTAACGTTCGTCACTGTAGTCGAATACCAAAGACTAAGACAAAAGCGGGAGAGATTACTAACGGGAGGAAATCTGTTTTACTGCTTAATCTTTTTCACAAGAGAGGTTCAGAGAAACGTAGAAAGAAACACTGATGGCAACAGCCGAAATTGTGCTTACTTTCTGATAAGGGAGATGATACTAGCGTTCGGAATCCAGCAACGTTTTGTCTTTTATTATAAAAGGTTTGTGTGTGTGTGTGTGTTTGTGTGTGTGTGTGTGTGTGCAACAATTTTTCTGTTTTGCACTTACGTGGAACCAGTTAGCTTTTATTTTTGTATTTCCCCATCTTTTTTCTCCTCCTCATTTTATTAACGAATATTTCATATTTCATTTCGTATTTCTCCTGGTGTGCGAGTTGCTTCCCTTTTGTTGATCAACTTTGCTAACGTTATCTTCTGAAGATGTGTTAGCCGAAAGAGAATGCATCCGTGCATATTCAAATATATATATATATAATATATATATATATATATATATATATATATATATATATATATTGAAGAAAAATATAACATGAGAAGATGGCGGGTCCGGATACGATCCAGAATGTTTTTAATTTGTTCACGGAGCATTCGCCACATAAAAAATGGAATTTTTTTTAGTAAAGTACGTCAACAAATGCTGTAAAATAAAAATTTGAATTTACATTTTGTCTGCTTTTTTCTTTTTCCATTTCTTTGTGAGCGAGTTGAATATTTTTACAAGGTCAAACTTTCAAGCTCCCAAACTTTGATAAAAGAAATGACGGCACAACAGACCTGCTCATCGAGAGGATGTGTAACATCTAAGAAGCGAACGCTCAGAAAAACAGAAAAAAATATATCAAAGATGGATCGAATACGCCGGAGAAATTTTCTTCAGCGAAAGAGGGCAACCTACAATAGGTAAAAATAGGGAAGGGCCTTCAACGTTCAAATCAAAATTTTAGGAAGAATTGTAATGAAAAAAATAATTCAGATGATTATTTCCCTGAAAAAATAATTCAGATGAATATTTCCCTGAAAAAAAATTCAGATGATTATTTCCCTGAAAATATAATTCAGATGATTATTTCCCTGAAAAAAAATTCAGATGATTATTTCGCTGGAAAAAAAATAATTCAGATGATTATTTTCCTGAAAATATAATTCAGATAATTATTTCCCTGAAAATATAATTCAGATAATTATTTCCCTGAAAATATAATTCAGATGATTATTTCCCTGGTCTCAGAATATATCCAATATTCTGAGACCTTTTCTGAAAGGAAATTTTAGTCTGGGAGACGAATGTTTGCCCAGGTACCTAAGATTATCAAAACTTTAAAGTATACCCGCATTTGGTAAAGGCACGCTTCATATAGAAATATTCCAATACAAATAAAGACAATATAAATAAAAGACAAAAGGAAAACTTTACCTTACCAACGCGTTTTGTCCCCTGGGGCGGTTTTATATGTAACTTGTATTTCTATGCAAGAGGCATAGAAATAGCAGGGATGGATTAATGGATAAACGAATGCTTACCTATTATATACAAAATGAAAATACATAAATGCTTTTTATATTGAAAAATAGAATGAATAGTGGCTTGGATTGAGAAATCGGAGAGCCGAGTTCGAATTCTACTCAAATCCATTACATTCACTTACGTGCTAATATCCTTGGGAAAGGTATGAATCCTCTTCTTTTCCCCCAGTTATGGGTAAATAGCAGGACAGACTGGGTTCTATAGCCTTGGATAGCAACTGGTCAGGCAGAAAGAAATGGCAACCTACAGCGGGATAAAATCTGCCTCGTCAGTCATGTATCGAAAGATACATGATCGCCGAAGCGTGTATCACACATGGCAGAAAACTGACTGACTGATTTATACACAATAATCAAGCGGGGAAAAAATAGCGATAATGTTTTTAAATTTAAGAAGGCAAGAAAATATTTTTGATGCTAACGGTGTAAAGAACTATGGAAGATGCTAAGGGATGTAATTTATTGTCTAATAAACGAAATTGACTAACTGCTGTTGTTTATTTATTATTTATACGAAAATAATTATATATATTTATTTAAGATTCACTCTAGCCAAAGTGAAGAGAGCAGCCGGACCAGATGGGATGTTAGTAGAGATGCCCTCAGTCGAAGACGATTTCGGCATCGACAAGATACAAATATTTAAGTAAATGCTCTGTTTATAATAAACAGTATTAAACAACATTTACTGGCCTGAATGTCCGAGAAATTTTCATGGAAAATATTCGTCCTCCGACAGGAATCGAAACTGTATCCTATACAGAACCGTCATTTAGCTTGACCTGCCTTTTTACCGATTGAACCACATAAACCAACTGCACTAACAAAGCATTAGAAGGCTTCAATTCTCGGTAGTTTGCCTGTCAATGTAACTGTCCGGGTTTCAATTCTCGATAGTGGATGCGCACTGCTGATGAGTCCCAAATATAGGACGAAACGGCCGTTCAGTGCTTTCTGCATTCTCTTGAGATTTCTTCTAGACTCGATGAATTAATTATCTCAGATCTTCCTTAATTTCTATCATATATATATATATATATATATATATATATATATATATATATATATATATATACCCAATCGTCTTGATGTGTTTAGTATGAAACAGACTGCCGCCCTTGGGTGTTGAAGTCAATGTTCACTTTATATATATATTTATATATATAGTTGACTCTCCTATTGTGAACGATAAATGAGGGTCAGCAGTGGAATAGTGTCTTTCGTTTCTTGGGTGCGATATGAGGACTGATTAAAAGTATCGGTACTGGAGCTAGAAAAAGAAAACTACACCACATATCAATTCGGTATTTATCAACTTCGAAGAAGTTCCCTTATTACAAGGTACAGGAGGATGTGGAGGGCCATGATCGCGGCACATAAAAGAAGAATGAATACTTGAATACAAGGAAAGGTTAAGTCGAACCAGTTTTAAACTAATAGATTCGTTGTTTATATACGAGTAGAAAAGACTTTCCTTTTTCCTTTTTTTTTTATTTTCCGTGACACTGATTCATTAAAATTTGAAACCCTGGTAGCACTTTAGTCGTGTTCAAATCCTAAATCCTTAAATCTTTCTATTTTATTTTCCGCTGTTCAGTGAATGATTGTTTAGGGACACAGAGGAGACGAAGACTGGCGATTCAATGTCGTTTGTCGGTAGATAT